ATATAATAGTATCCGATGTAGTTGGTTCCACGTATGCCCACAAAAATATATAATAAAAAGCAAATACGAAAAAGAAACGATTGCATACGTTGACATAATAGAGACATAAAATTTATTCAAGACGAATTTTTCCGACACAACAATGCTGAGGAAGGACACAGGCGTGTCGGAAATATTCGTCTTGAATAAATTTTATGTCTCTATTATGTCAACGTATGCAATCGTTTCTTTTTCGTATTTGATTTGTATTATATATATATATATATATTTATATATATATATATATATTATATCAGTTCGTAACTCTGACAGACTATTCCTACATGTTTATATACACCATATAAATAAATTATTAAAGCAAATTCACAAATAAAAAAGTTGCTTACACTGCTAAAAAATTGCACATCATATGATACTATAAATATATATATATATATATTTAAATTATTGTACTACATTATATAAATAATGTATGCTATAAATACTCCTAATGAATTGTAAGCAATGTTCTAATGACACAGTATACATAGACAACGGTCAAGGTGATGTATTTGAGCTTGAATTACTCACACACTCGCATAAAATATAAAAATATTGACACAGGAATTGCTAATACAATATACAGTATCAGGGCTGCTGAGAATGGGCCTGGGCCCAAATTGTGGTGGTCTGGATTCTATCAAGTAGGGTCTAATGGATGAACCCCGAAAAGGGGTTTGGGGCCAGATTTATGGCCTTGTATGTAGCTGATGCTCAAATTTAATGATTACACCCAAAACTATAGAGATTAGGTCTTGAAAAAAATGTGATTGTATTTGTTTCAGGCCAACAGCGGGCCACTGGAATAAATTACATGGTAGGCGTCGGACGACGGTGGTTCATGCCTATTTGCGACAGGAGGGCAATGCCCTCCCACTGGCGCCACCACTGTGTACAGCATGAATATTAATTGACTTAATGATGAATATTAATTGACTTAACGATGAATAAATAATTGCACTTTTACTACCATACTACTGATCATCAAATTTCAACAATTAATTACAGAAATAGTTCTAAACTTTGACACAGGCTTTGACTGGTCATATTTCAAAGGCACCAACATAATTTGTTATCACAAATTCAAATTGAATTTGTAGTAAAAGTTTAGATTTAGAAACACCATACTATTTAGTAGTATGGTGAGAGCCAGCAAATGACAAAAAATGTTGGTCGAAGAGGCTCAATGTGAGTTTAATATCTTTTTTTTTAATGATTTTTAAGAGATTATATTCATTTCTAACTTTTAATAGAAATTTATCAGAAAGTTGATTTTTTTCTACATTTTTAAACAGTTTAATAATATAAAATATATTATATCACAAAAATATTTCCAAGATTAAAAGTGATAAATATAAATTTGAGTCGATTGATTGAGTAGTTAATGCAAGGGCGCCCCAACCTACAACCATAATAATGGCACTGACACAAATAGTGTGCTTACCCATGTTATTCTGGTAGTGGAGCCAGACTCTCAAATAAGGACTACAAACTGTTGGCCTAGTGTACAAAGGAGGCTTGCGTACACTTTAATCAAAGCATACCGTTCAAAATGAACGGGGATACCCTAATGTACTGGTCCAGAATTCCCTGTGGTGAACAAATGCTATTATTAGGGTTTTACCGAGTATTGGTATAGAAACAAAGTGACCATTATGGTTCGAAGAATGTTATCACACAAGCTACTAGTGCATACAACAAATGCAATTAAGTTTGATAGATATGGGATTTTTACAAATATCCACTTCTATTATCATTATTAATTTGTATTAAATGTTATCAATAACATGATATTAATACTTATTTTGCTTCAGCATGGTAGTAGGCAACCAGATACATTAGGCTTCATTGTTGGTCAGCTCTATAAACACTGGCTTTAACACTTAGCGTTGGTCAAAAAAGTCAATTGACTCCAATATTTTCCATTAAAAGTCAATCATGAAAGCCATCCTTTTAAATCCCAGGTTTTTTCTATCCAAATCAGTTTTAAACCGAATAAAATCACCTTAGTATGCCAATACTGGGATGTAGCATGCGTGGTAATCTCAAACCCTTCTGCATAATATAAACCTGATAGCACCATCTAACATTAAAACATTATTTTTCTTTTTGGCTCTTTATCTTCTTAGATTTCTTCTTCCTTTCAGATTTTTCTAAAATAAGAAGAAAACAAAAGTCACTATGTTTGTGGCAAAGACAAACCAAACAGGTCACTGGTCACAAAAATCGATTGTTAGTTACATAATACATGGTTAAAAGTAAAATGAGAGCTATAAAACAGTAAAAGAATCATTTAAATCCAAAATTTCCTTATGAAGTATGAAGCATTTAAACATAGAGCTGTTTAAAGAACAATAATTTTTGTTTTGAACAATAATTATTTTTTGCATACACGTTTTAATTGCATAGTAATATTTGGATTTTTGTAAACCAAAAAAAATGTTTTGTACTACAGGTATTGGATGCATGATAACTAATTTGATCATGTTAAATGAGCTATCAAATTTTTGAAATTTCTTCATATTTTGTGACAGATAGCACAATTTTATTTTTTCCAAAACATGGATACATGACAAGAACATTTGTCAACGGAAACAGAGACACTTGAAGAAATCTGCTGGTAAATTATAGCAAAAGGAAAGCATACAACAATGCTGTACTAAATTTGGTAGGTACAGCAGTGGATACTCAATTGACACTTAGGACTATTGACCATACTTATTAAATAGTTATGATTTCAGTAACTTACTGTTTAGCATAGTTAAATCAGCTGTGTCCTGAGAAGGGTTCATAGTGTTACATAATGCAGACACACTTGCTAGAACACTAATAAGAATAACAGAAAAAATAAGAAACAATCAAGAAATGCCGAATGAATTTTCAGAAATACAATACACTGACAGTTACATACAAAAATGTGCTACTAAAATGTTTTAGTGTTGTACTTTTGAGTTTTTTTACAGCATAAAATGTGATTTGAACTTTGTAGCATTAGGATTTTTTAGTCCAGTAGTGTTATTCAATTATTAAAATAATGTTTTACATACTTTTATTGTGATGATTGTGCAGTGGTCTGTCTCATTTTTGGTTTTAAAATTTTTTCTAATTCTATTGTTAGTTAATACTTTTTTATGTTAATGTAATTCGTAATTTGAATAATTTGTAAACCCATTACTGTATATTCAGAAATATTCCTTTTCTCTCCATTTATTTATTTTCAGTTAAAAATACCTGCAGCCTTCTAAATTGAGTGACTTTGATCTTGGTCTTGCTCCTAATTTGGGCCGTGTTGGCATAGCACTGGTATTTTCACCTTCAATGCAATCAACATATTCAGAACTTAAAGACATCAGTGGCTTTCTGTTTCTCCCAGTTGCTGAGGAACCTGTAAAAAAAAGAATGAAAAAAGGACAATCAATATGCTATAAATTATTTATTACTGTCTGTTAACTTTTTTTTCTGTTTACTTTTTTCCTAGTATTTATTTTTTTTTACAAGTTATTGTATAATTTTAATGTCATATTATGTATGTTTGCCTGAATATAAAATAATTTTATGTTCCTTATAATTTGGCAAGGCAATAGATGTTATCTATGTCTTATCTTTTATAACATAAAATGATCAATAAACCAAGACAAATGGGAAAGAGTATGAAATAAATAAAAGCTAATGGAAAAAAAAGAGCAACAAATTTTTTATAAAACCAATATATAAAGCTAATTTCTGATCAATTTGGTGCTTATGCAAAAGAATAGAGCAATGTTTTTATTTAATTGTCCGCTAACTGATGCAGAACTATTACTCATTCAAATTTTTAATTGTAATTTTACAATTTAAATATACAAATTAAGCACTCAAAAATATGAAATGTTTTGAGTTTTTTCCTTTAGCTCATGACAGACAGTACATTTTAAATATTCTCACTGCAAAAGAGTCTTCAATCATTATACAGTAATACAGTATTGGCTTTTACCAAAAACCTAGACAATCGTCTGACTAGACAATAAAACAGCAATGCTCTGCAATTAAACTACTATGCCAGAACTACATCACTGCCAAATGAAGCTGACCTTTAAAACTGTCTATAAAATGCAATTATGGAAGAAACTGGGTTATATATAGTCTTCAACCCAAAGCCCTGGGTATACTATCTTTGTTGTATTAATATTCTGATATGTACCATTGCTTTGTCAAGACCCTAATTTAATTTATGGTTGTGCCATTAGATGTACAGTACAGTGTCCAACACATCATCACCCTTCTATGAATATAATTATAAATATGACAATATTCTACTTACCAACATCAATAGTACGTAACCATGGTAATGTGGAGCTGAATTCATCCGTTTCATTGATGGTTCCTCGGTAAGCAAGAACAGGTAATCGCCCTTTTCCACTACCATATAACTTTTCTAAAAAAAAATTAATCAAAATTTTTTTCATAATGTATTGAAAAAGATTGAGGATAAAGAGAAATTTCATGAGATAAATAGAAGATGGTGGATAAATAGTAGAAAGAAAAAAATATGAGACCGGTGAGAAAAAAGAGAAAGGTACAATAAACATAGAATGGTTGAGTGACCCAAATGGGAAGGAGAAAGAATCTGCTTTAATTAAATTTATATACTGTGAATCCTTAAATAAGCACCGCTCTCGATTAAGTGCCGCACTGAACCCTCCAAAAATTGTATAAGCTCTGTGGCGCTTTACTTGAGGGTTTACGGTATATAATTTCAAGTACTAAAACTTACGACTGTTCAAACCCTGGGCTTCTAGAATCTGCCTGGCACTCAATTCAACAGTCACTAAATCAGTTTGTCCAATCAGCGATGTAGGTTTTTCAACTTTGACATCTGCATCCTGTTTCATACTCGCAGGAGAAGGCAATGGAGAATACTTCTGTAAACATGTAAATTTATGATCAGTTTTTGCCATCTCATCTTGAATACGTGTCTGAAGTAGGTACTCGGAGGCTGTAAGATATGACTTGCCTTCATCAACCTCATCTTCTTCATCAGTATCAAGTAAATCCGATGTGGGAACAATTGTTTTGCCTCCTCTATCATTCTTCTTCCCATCATGCATTTGGGATTTAGGCAACTTGGGTGATGGCTCAAGTGTTATGTCAACGTCACAAGTTAGTTGGTTATCAATATATACACTATTATTTTCTTGCTTCGTTGGGTTACTCTGTTGCATCTCGACTGTTTCTGTGCAAGTTTTATCTATTAATTCAGAATTTTTTTTGTCATCATTATCTTGTCGCTTACTTCCAAATAAAGTACTAAAAATCCCAAGAAATTTGCTGCGAGATGTTTGACCTTGGCCATCAGTTTGTTTACTCAACACATCAGTTTTAATAGCCAAATTTCCAAACTTTGCTCCAGCTTCCTTCAAGATATTTGCAACTTCTGTATGGCCGGCTTTTGAGGCATAGTCCAGGGGGGTTCCCCCATTATTGTCTTTGGCAGATACATTCAGACCAAGCTTCAATAAGATCTTCAGTGAGTCAACCTGTCCCGTAACAGATGCCCAATGCAATGGAGTCCTGAAAAAATACACAAATCACATTAATTTCATGCCAACTTTGTTAAGACTTCATATAATCACATTTAAGGCACTCCTAAAAAATATGTTTATTCCAACTAATTATTACTACAATCTTTAGAAGTTCATGCCGATTAAATTCTTTAAGTATTTATTCGTATAATTATTATATTTAAAAGATGTGCCCTAATTTATCTCTTGGGGACACCATCTTGTTCATAGATTCTGATTTTCAAAAATAAGAATTAGTAAAGTAAAGCAAAGATTCTCCATTGAGGGTAGACAGATACCCTCAGATACAACTTTGTTAAGTCTTCATATAATAACATTTAAGGCACTCCTAAAAATATGTTTATTCCAACTAATTATCACTACAATCTTTAAAAGCTCATGCCGATTAAATTCTTTAAGTATTTATTTGTACAGTATAATTATTGGTGATCCGCTAACGTTAGCGGATCACCTATTGTTATTGTCAGGATCATCATCATCTTCATCTTCTTTTTTTTATTCTTCTTTCTTTCTCCCCTTTTCTTTTCGCACGATATCTCAAAAACTGCCACGAGTTACGCACAATTGCTGTCAGCGAACATTTGGCTTTGTCTGGAATAGCCATGGTAAGATTTTTAACGCGCTCAGTCATGCGTGACGTCATCTACGCGCAATTTTGCGTTTTTACATTATCGATAATATCAGCCTAACCAATTGCCATTTCGAAATCGTATTAAGTGAGCATTAACTTTGGGTTAATGTTGAATGTACAGTACCCTAATTTTACGCGTGCGCTTATTAACGCGCGCGCATGCCTGCGTCAAAATGCTCAAAATCACTTTTTGACAAAATTAGATTACGTTTTAGGACATTTTGAGCATTTCAAATTTTTTTGAAATTTTCCACTACGCGCGCGCATTTTTACGTGCGCAGCACGTACGAAAGCTAGAAATTACGTTATTTTACATATTTTGGGTTCCTGACATTGTTTTCACAAATTTGCATTTTTTTCAGTCATCTTTTGGCCAATAGCAATGCCGTACGTGCGCATCAAACATAGGTATCTTTGCGCGTATTTTGTCGCTATACAGTGAACTTATGCTAAAATCAGACCTATTTTTAATCAGTTATAGCTCCTTAGGTTGAAAGGTGACCCCCAATTTTTATTACATATTCTGAAAGCACATAAGTTGTAAATATGATTTTATAGAACATAATGGCTGATTGGACATTGTGACGTCATCATATTGGCATCTGAATTCAAAGAAAGTGAATTAAAGCTATGACGTCATTTTTTAAAATACGCATTTGAGCGTATCTCGCTTATCCTTGATCGATCGTCTTCCAACTTTGAGTATGTTATAGCTGAGACAATTCTCTTTCATATATTTGACTCCTTCTTACATTTTGATGACGTCATCATGGTCAAAAAAATTGTTTTTTTCTGACCCCCTCATTTCTCTTTCTTTAAAACGTTGATGACCCCATATAATCTTAACCATTCGTCATTTTTAAATCATATTAGGTGAACATAAGCTTCAGGTCAAGGTTGAATGTTATGTACCTTAATTTTCCGTTAGCGCTAGTAAAGCAAAGATTCTCCATTGAGGGTAGACAGATACCCTCAGATACAACTTTGTTAAGTCTTCATATAATAACATCTAAGGCACTCCTAAAAATATGTTTATTCCAACTAATTATCACTACAATCTTTAAAAGCTCATGCCGATTAAATTCTTTAAGTATTTATTCGTATAATTATTATATTTAAAAGATGTGCCCTAATTTATCTCTTGGGGACACCATCTTGTTCATAGATTCTGATTTTCAAAAATAAGAATTAGTAAAGTAAAGCAAAGATTCTCCATTGAGGGTAGACAGATACCCTCAGATACAACTTTGTTAAGTCTTCATATAATAACATCTAAGGCACTCCTAAAAATATGTTTATTCCAACTAATTATCACTACAATCTTTAAAAGCTCATGCCGATTAAATTCTGTAAGTATTTATTTGTACAGTATAATTATTAATTTTAAAGATGTGCCCTGATTTTCTCTTGTTCATGGATTCTGATTGTCAAAAATAAGAATTAGTAAAGTACAGCAAAGATTCTCCATTGAGGGCAGTAGACATATACAAATTTCTTTGTATTGTAAATATTAATGAGGCATGTACAACATAGAGGGCGTTGGAGTGACCTTACCTATCATCTGGATCAAGTGCTTCGAAGTCAACACCAGGGATGGAGGAGAACTCCTCAATGATGTCCCCTCTCCCAGCAGCTGCAGCAAGGTGGACACAAGTTTTACCGCTAGCCTCCACGCAGTTCACCAACTTTGAGCCGCCGTTATTACAATGAACTAATGCTTTGCAACATGACAACGACCCTTTCTGGCATTAAAAGAAAAGCTTGACGTAAGAATATTTTCAAAACATCATGTAGACGTGTTTCACATCTTCAGTTGTGGCGACGTCATCACATATAAAGATGTGATGTGAATCACTACATAGGGCTCACAGACACCACAAAAATGTTTTCACCTTCTAGTGATCCACTGGAAATTTGCTGAGAAACAACATTTTATTAAAGTAGAAAAAAAATGACCTCATATCACCTTGTTGATGTTGCTATTACCCCTCACCCCACTTTCCCCTTCCCATGTCAATATCCCAATCCATCCTTGCATCTTTGTGAAATTGGAAGATACAATTTATCCAAAAAATAGTACCACTCTTAAAATTTTTAGAAAGGTTGTTTCAACATAATTTTATAAGTACAGTTTATTTGGTAGTATCTTTATGTTTTTGGTCTTAAGCTTTTCTATTTTCCTTTCGTTTTTGTAAGTAGTTGTAGTTAAGTTTTATTATGTATTAAAAGGTACATATGTGGCCTCATGGAAGAAAACCACCTTGGTGAACAAGCTTCCGCTGTAAAAGAAAAATGTTATTATTATTATTATTATTATTATTATTATTATTATTATTATTATCCCTTCTTTTAAAAAAGCTATGAAGAGAAACATGATTTTATTTTCAATAGGCCTAATGAGTTTGCATTATTGATGTCATTATTATTGGATGAGTATGTTACTTTTATAAAGCTAGATTTTATATAAACATAATTAGCATCATCAATTTCATCAACACATCCAGAGACAAAAACCGGTACCGCGACAAATCAATAATAAGGTTGTGAGAATATTCATACCGCGACAAATCAATATTAAGGTGTGAGAATATTCATACCTGACTGGCCCAATGTAGCGGCGTCTTTTCATCCATGTCGGTCATAAAGATGTCTGTCCCGCGGAGCATGAGTAATTTCACATGTTCAGGTTGACCGTGAAAAGCAGCCCAGTGCAGAGCTGTCATGCCGTCGTTATCTTGCTGGTTTACCTCATCAATGCTAAGTGACTGTAGTAATGCAGAAAGTAACCTGCAACAAAGTACTGCATTGTTTAAGGAGTGATTACTATTATTTATTATCTTTATTATTTCTTGTTTAACATGGGTTAACAACTCAGTTGAAACCAACTTTATACAAAACATATAATCCTCAATTAATTAATTTAATAAAATTAGTAATAATTCATAAGAACAATAATAATAATAATAATAATAATATTAATAATAATAATAACATTAATAATAACATTAATAATAACATTAATAATAACATTAATAATAATAACATGCGCTAAGTCGGACTTAAGAAGAATATATTTTCTGTTATTTTACCCCTTAATGTCATGATATTTTCCGCTTGACATGGTTTTTTTTAATTGTTCTCTAATTTCTATATTGTCTAAAGTTCCCCTTAAGGTAGGTTTTAGTAACAAATAATGATAATAATAACAATAACAGAATTTCTGGCCATTAATTTTTCCATTGAATAATGATTCTAAATTTATCCATATCAATATTTATTGATAATTATTATTAATGATAGTAATTATTACTTGCAACCAATCAATACAGTTGTAGCATAAAAACAATAAAAATCCTTACTAACTCTTAATTTAATTAAAAAATAACCAATAATAATTCGCTTTCTTTAGTTTGTGCAATATAGACTCTTGGCTTCAAACAGACAGAACATGAATTTTAGTCCATTGTTGGTCACTTTGCCCAAGCCATTTGCCCTCGGCAAGGCATTTTACCTTTGTTTGTTTCATTCCACACAGGAGTATTAATGGTTGCTCTAGGCACTGTAAGATGTTTAAATTATATGGAAATGATTGTTCAGGTGCTAGCTACACAACTGAGAATATTCTTTAGGGAGCAGCTCCATAGCAAATTAATAGTGGATGCCTCTGTGTATATTAGGCTATTAGTAGTTGAGTTGTTCAGACTAGCGGGATTAGCCAGGCGCCAGAATTTGCATACTAATGAACCGTAACCGGGAAACGTCTTGAGAAACATTCCGCTCGAAACGTACGCTCGCTCACAGCACACGTAATTGAATGCTGATAGGTCAGTTTGCTATCCGAAGCAAGACCCCCCCAGCGATTAAAGCCGGGCTTAGAAAAGTTAAACACGGTGGCACGCCAGGCCTAGTACCTATAGAAACACAGCCCGGCTTAAAATAAGCCCCCTAGTTCAGACTGGCAAGTGGATAAACCCGGTGAGTTGAGCCGGGTTTATCCACCCAGTCTGAACTAGGCCTCAATATATTATGAATAGATAGTTGCAGACTATTGCTATTTTTATAAATTAATTATAGACTAATGGTATTTTTTAAATTCCTTTTGATAATATGTAAAATAGACAGAAAAAATACTAAGGTCTATTAGTGTCTATTAAGAATAGTGCTATGACTACTGGGATTGACTAAAGGCTTTTTAAATTATGGAGGATTATCATGATTGTATCTGGTTGTACATTGTAGGGAATGGCTGAATATCATACGTAATGACTAGTGAAATAATTATCTGTGCCTTAAAATACATTTCTAGACAGACAGTATTATTAAGTGCTGGATTATTTATTATTATTATTATTATTATTATTATTATTATTATTATTATTATTATTATTATTATTATTATTATTATTTATTATTTATTTATTATTTTTTATTTATTGCTTATTATTATTATCATTAGATCTTCAGAGGTCTTTTGAATCAAACCAACAACAGAAAATGACTACCTTACAAGGTCCTCTAATTACTACCAGAATGCATTGCAGGAAAGCAATTAAGAGCAATTGATGCTAGTTTAATGTACAGAGTAAGCATCTAGTATAGCTATTCAATTTTTTCATGCTTTTGTTCAATTAATGTAATGTAATGCTATTCTAGTGAAAGGGCTGTCACTCCAAGCGTACAAAGTTTTTTATAACACATCAGTGATGTTGTGCATTAAAGCAATTGGTGAAGAATGATGACCTAACCTTGTATCTGTGCAATACGTTGCAGCATGCAGAGGTAACCGGCCATTGCCATCTGTAATGCTCTGGTTCGCTCCATTACGGAGCAGATATAAAATCCCCTCATACCAACCCTGAGAAAGAAAGAACGTATTTCTATTATTATTTACAATAATTATAATCATCCTCATACTAATGAAATCATAAAATAAAATATAACTTGTTACCATATATCAATTAATTTGACCACAAATCACCTTTAAGATCACTGCATCCTTCATTATTCATATAGTAAGAAATGTTAATGATGATGATAAGGATGAAACGCTGGTGTGCGCTGAACCGTGAACATCTCTTGGTCCCCGGTTCAATGCTCATTGCTCATGATCTCCTTGGTATGTTTCACACCATAAACACTCCAAAAACACTATCACTAAAAAAAAACACTCCTATCACTAAAAGAACACTCCTATCACTAAAAAAAAAACACTCCTATCACTAAAAACACTTCTATCACTATCCTCCTATCCTATCCAACCTATCCTATCCAATGATGACCATGATTATGATACTAGGATGATGATGTTGATCGATTAATGCTTAATTTTGTTAGATTGACGCAATTCAGTTCAATACTACAATGTCAATTTTTGTTGTTTTTAATAAACCGGAATGAAATGATTAAGATTATAATGATTGATGTTGATTATTACGATAGATGACAATGACGATGATGATGATAATGATGGCAGTAGTAATTGTGATAGCAAATAATTTCGATAATGAAAATGATGATGATGGATGATCATGGTGATTATGATGATTATGACGATGATGAAATAAGCATCATCAGTGCATATATTGTAACTGAAGCTAAAAAGTATTCTATTTCAAACCAATCAAATGCTATCTGACCAAATTTTCTATCGTCGTCGTCGTTGTCGTCATCATCATCATCAACATCGATCATCATCATAATCATCATCGCACCATTATCTTTAGCATTCTGTTTCAATACCATTACCCAACTTAAACTTTCACCTCGTATGCTGCTAAGCAGAGCGGCGTTCTTCCTTTGGCATCTCTCGTGTTCAAATTAGCTCCCATTTTCACCAACCTCTTCATCACTTCAAATTGTCTGAATTGAGTCGCTTTTGCTAAAGGTGTCATTCCTTTATGAAATAATTAAAATTGATGATCACAGTGTATTCAAACTTTGAATATGTACATTGATGATGGTTGCTAAGTAACTGATGTACAATCAAGAAATGTGTATTATAACTCAGAGGTTCAACTTCATAGCAAAACTACTTCATCATTTAGTTGTTTGCATAAAGCAGAGATTTATAGATAGAGAATATAAGTACCCAGGGAATGATGAGTGGTTTGCATAATAGCTTTATAGATGTGATCAACAGTAAGAGTCAACAAATTCAACAGAGCTCTGGTAACTGTGATCAGGCCAAATACATTATTTAGTGTTGCCCAAGCTTGACCTTTGGTGGTGCTATTATTTCCCCAATGAGGGGAGGGGGGTTCGATGTCATAGACGAGGGATGATGTACCTGACAGAGCCAGCCTAAAACCCTTTAGAGCGCTTTCAGGGAGCGAAGCCCCCGGATTTGAAAGATTATTCTGTAAAACTTTAGATTTGTTTTCTCCCCGACAAGTTATTTTCAGTTTTCCCCACCCCATTGGCTCCACCAACAGACCATTTTACCAACCAAAATTCATAGGGCGAGAAATGATAGTACTGTAGTGTACTAAAAAAATTAGGCCTATGTGTATAATAACAGTAATAAAAAATAAATAATTTCTGGCCAACCAGCCCTGATTTTCAAATCTTAATGAGCAACACGACAATTGTTTTTTAGCCTTATTGCTAATATTCATCTATATTGCACCAGCTCCTACATGGCTACTCTTTTGCGGAGGCAGTTGTCTGAATGCTTCTCATTGTTACTATCGCCAACGACAATGTATGTGTATGAAGAATAAACCAAACCTTGAACCCCTGGTAATAATAATGAAGTACATTGATTGGAAAGCAACATATAAATGTCAAACATATTATTATAATTATTATCAACATTTTGCCAATAACGATCATGAGCAATCTCTCCAAATCGTTAAAAAAATGGCTATATATGGTGTACCAAAATTTTAATTATTTATTAATTATATTACTACAGTATTCATATTAAATATTATATTATCAATATAAAAAATATTATATTAATGGTTAATATTTATGATAAATATAATAAATTATTATTATTATTATTATTATTAAATTTATAATTTTCAATAATA